CGTCACAGCCCGAAACGCACCCTCCATCCCCGCCCGGAGCCGCGGATCCTCCCTCCCCCTGTCAAACCGTCCCGTGCCCACCGTCGGCCCGGGAGGGGGAGATGAGAGCGAAGCCTTCGCACAGCTGCCCCTGAGAGGCAAAAGCGGGTGCGAAGGCAGAGACTCCATGAAAACACCTTTCACGCTGTAAGGAGGGACGCCCCGCCAAGGGAAACGCGTCCCGCCGAGAAGGGGCTGCTCCCTCACTGCCCACCGCGACGGCTGGGCCTGAGCCGCCGTGAAGCAGCTTCTGACAGCCCCAAGGGCAGCGTTCCGGGGACCAGGTGCAGCTGGGCGTGAAAAGAGGGGGTGGACAGACACAACTGGACGCCGGCGGGGGAAAGATGCAGACAGAGAGCGAGAAAAAACAGTGCCTGGGATCTCTCTGCGCCAGGGGCAGCGGAGGGAGGGCTGGGGGAGGAACAGTGCCCTGGCACTCACACGGACGGGACACGAAGAACAATCTCTCTCCGTTCAGTGCAGGACGCTGTAGGCACCGTGATGAAAGAAAAGGAATACAAACCACACCCATAAATGTCAGAATTCCAAATAAAACCTGACACGGACTACAGTTTAGCACCAGATGTATCCCCATGTCTGCTAAGAGAAGGTCTAGGCCCTCTCCAAAGACTGAGCATCTGAGGTGCCAGGGGGGCTGTGCAACTTACTGAAATGGCGCACACCAGGTACTGGGACTCAGCAGTGTGCTTTCAAAGACAAAATATGAAATGTCGCTGCAGTTTTACACCAACACAGTGTTAACATGTGGAAAAAAGTTTGCAATTCCAGGCATCGCTAAAAAAAAAAAAAAAAAGATAAAATGACAGAGCTGGGTTTTCATACCCTCACACACGTATCCTTCACTTTCACATTAAGCAGAAATGGGTTGCACAAGGATGAGGAGTAGCTCCACAGAGAACTCTTGGCCTGTCTAGATTTCCAGTAGTCCAAACCCAGGGAGTTTTGCGATAAAACATTACAAAAAAAGTCTTCATATCCTTACGCCATTTGGTTACAAAAATATCCTGAGTCTGTTTAAATTGGTTTTTTGTGCAATCCGTGGGATAAAAAGCTCCTCCCCAAGCTGCAGTACCTCAGCTTGACTAGCGAGCGCCTCTGACCTCCGTCACGCTGCTGCCCAGGACGGCATCTAAAGGGGCCCGTTTTTTCCGTATGCTGCGCCCGGAAGCAATAAGATCAGCGTATCCCCGCTGGTGGGAGAAAGCGTAAGCAGAGCGACGGCCAGAGACCCCTCGGCGAAAAGCACTCTGCCTTCGCTTCCACTGCTGCTCCTCTGCCAGGTACTTCTTGCGGTTCTTCTGAACCTGCACGCATGCAAAGACAGATGAGTGTACAGGTTATGACAAGGGAGAACAGCCTGTTTGCAGCTCCTGTCTGGGGAAACAGCACGGCACCTTTCACACCCTTAAACGGCTGAACGGAAGGGTTCTCTTCTTTAAACTTGATTTTGTCAGAAACAAGAACATAGGCAGTAACACATCACCGTTTCAGGAAGACTACTGCGTGATTCGGAACTTAACCAATTTATCTTTAAGTGTCTTTAATTGAAAAGGATTGAAGACACATAATTGAAAGCTATTCCTGCGTTCCCACGCTGACACTTCTTTAGTATCTTTTTAAACAACACTAACCCAATTTCAACTATTTTCATAGCCACGTGCTATTTGCCAGCTCAAGGCGGAACAGAAGCAAACAAAACCTGTCCACTACACTCCGGCACGTAACAATGGAACTCCAACACAGCCCAAATCAAAACAAAAGTCAGGCCAGCGGTAGCTTCAGTGTGTGTTTCTGAGGTTTCACAAAGTCAAGTGCTCAGCTGAGACACACGATGAATCAGCCCACACTGAGCTGTGTGCTGAGCTTGTAACGCACCTCTGCATCCCAGAGAGGCACACAAGGAAGATATTGGGAAACAAGAACACGTCAGAGTGACGCCCGGCCGCAGATGGCAAGATGTCGTGGCAGCAGCGGTCACCCAGCCAGGAGGCAGGCTCGGCCTGGTCCCCAAAGCCCTGCTGCCACCCTCCCTGGCTGTGGCACCCGAGCTCCGTGTAGCTCTCCCTGGGGCACATCACTCATTTGTCTCTGCCATCAGCACCAATACCGCCTCCTGCAAGTACCTTCCCAATTAACGGAAATAACGTAAGCCCTTACTCACTCTATCACTTTCCAAAGGCCAGATCGTCATGGACCAGAAGCGCAGTGCCACTACAGGAAGTAAGCAAATAGCAATCGATAAAATCACGGTCAGCCAGAGGTACGGCTGTCTCAGAGCATTTGGAGCAGTTCCTAGGAATAAAAAGGGCAAAAGTTAAATTTACGACACGATCAAGTCAACTAGCTCTAGAACACAAGTAAGACACTGACAGCCACAGCTGCTCGCCTGACGACCTGACTACGAAGAGAGCATAATAGGAAGAATTTATAAAGCCCTTCTATTACGACGCACCCGTATTAATGTCAAAGCCCATTTAAGAGTCATGGCAGGCTGCGAGACAAACGCCTGGCTGAGATGCACGGCTTCTGTCCGGCTCTAAAGCAAGAGAAAGTCCCCCCGGTATCATTGCCATGTACGCGGCCTAGAAAGCAGCGGTATTTAGCAGCCAAACCCCTAGTCTTACGGAAGTTTCTATCAAACTAAGCAGCAGTGCTATCTTTATCATCTTCTGAAATGCACAAAATACTCAGGTGGAAGGAAGTTATCGATATAGTCTGAAACATTACTAAAGGTCAAAGAAAAACATTCTATTAGAGACAACTGCCTTCTTCCAACTGGGTTCAGCTTAAAAATGAGAACATAAAATTGAGGGGGCTTGTTATTTTGGGGGGGATCCAAGGCAACGTATGAAAGATTTGTCACTAGGAAAACTAAAAAGCACGGTTTTCCCCAGAAAAAAGGTTTCCAGCTGGCTGCTACTTAGACCCCCCTGGACTTCCAGCAAAATCCCACGGAGCTGCAAACAGCATCTGGCTCTGTCTTACTTTCGGTTTTAGCTTCCGCTGATCAGTTAGAGCAACGGGGCAAACGCATACCTGCCAGGCCATCACAGCCCCTTGACTTGAAGCTGCCCCAACAATTCTAACTGAGTTTCCATTTGCAGACTCCTACTGCTGGGCAACGTCAAGTTCCAGCTCACTTTCACTGAGAGAAGAGAATTACTCCCGCAAAGCAACCTGGCCCCAAACATAAACAAGACCCTTCCGTGGAGGTGAATTAGTATTTGACGCAATTTCCTTCCATGGACATCAGGTGGATGCCACGGCATTTTGGCCTTAGCTCTGCTCAAGTTACAAAGCGGCGTGACAGAGGAACAAGAAACACAAAGCACAAGGACTGACCTGTGAACTGGAAGGCAGAAGGAAAGAGAACGTGGATTCCAGCACTGTGTAAGTCAAATGTGATACCAAAATAAAGTGCAATACTCCCAAATACTGAAAAAGCATTAACAAACGTCCAGTAAGAGGTATCCAAGCCAATCTGAAAGCAAACAAAAGCTTCCAATGAGTTTATTAATTCAAAGTAACATCAACTACTGTGAACACTGGCAGTGTTTTGGTTGAGCCATCTCTCATCCAGTTGCACATGAGTCAGAAAGAGAGCACCAACAGAGAAGAGAGAAGGCAGAAAAGGGAAGCTTTTGCATGTTGTTACGTTTTCAGTAGACAGATTGAGAAACACGACCAGAAAGTGTTTTCCGAGCAACAGTGACCAGGGAGCTAAGCTTACTTGCCTGCAAATTGACGACAAATATAAGAGAAGATGCTGCTGTGACGGCAAATGACTGATAATCTGAAGGTCCTTCTCCATCTTGTCCCATAGTTTTAAGGTAAGCTCCATAAGGTATGAAGAAGATGATCAATGAAGTTATAGCTCCATGAAGCAAACTTAAAAAGAATTTCTTGTAGTTAAAAAGTAAATCTTTCTGTCCCAAAACATACAGTCCAGGGAACCGAAGACTCAGTTTGTCGCTGACATCCTTAATAAAGGGGGAAAAGAAGAAAAAAAAAAAAAAGGTTGCTGCAATCTCTTGGTGTTTGGTGTTCGTGTGAGCTTTGAAGAAGCTCAACTATACAACGTCCCAACGGAAACGGCAGATTTCTTTCCCTTTCCAAGTAGCAGCGTGGGCAGCAGGACTTTGCACAGAGTAACGCATGCAATGAGGAAGAACCAAGCCTGGAGGAGATCTTTCACAAAGCTATCACATATCCCAATTCCTGGCTTCTAGGTTTTTAGCCCATTATTTGCCAAGACAAGAACGTCCAGTCGCTTACAGCTATGTACTGTGTTGGAGACCTTTC